TTTTCTCCCGATATCCGACTGAGGTTTGTTAGAAAGATAACGCAAAAGGGCTACAAGTGTGTTTTAGATATCAATTCCCAATTCGAATATTTACTATGCCAAAAATGGTTTTCAATCATCGAATAAAAATTTGGAACATACTTGTGTGGTTGAAAATCAATTTGTGAAGATATTTTGATTATATCTCACTCATTTTTTACTTCTAATTGCATTCAAATGACTCTTACTAATCTTCAGTTATCATTTTGTAGTTCGAATCAACTATTGAAAAGTTACAGTTGAGTCCTCAAACTTTATATCTCATTTTTCGTCGTTATTCACTTCTTTCTTTTAATTTAGCCTCCAAACATCAAGTTTCGTCTAATCAACTTCAACTTCACCTTGATTCATGCCAAAATTTTATTTTCTCCAAGTTCTACATCATTGACACCAATTCACCTAACCTATAAAACAATACAAAAACATAAATTAAAATGTTCTAAAACTCTTAGATTCAAATGACATATCAAGATTAAGTAGCGTTAATATGATGAATGAAGCATACTCATCCAAGATTATAGATCTATATGCTTTTTGATTCATATCTTCAATTTCATCAAGTTTAGCTTTGAGTTCATCCAAAAAAAGTTTCAGGATCTTTAAGGGCTTTAGCCACACTTTGTTAGACTAATATAACCCTTATTTTCTGCTTTCAAATTGAATAATCCCTCTTTTCATCAAATTGTGAGCATTTGACCCTCGAACCTATGGCAGATTTTGTAAAATGAAGGGTTGTATTTGAGATCATTTACATCATCAAATAAGCATAATTTTTTTTTTCAAAATAGAAAAACCCTTTTCTCAATTTTAATCAACGAAACACAGATTAATAGAATGAGAAGAATCTTGAACGTCACAAATGATTTTATCAAATTTTAACAAAACAAATATGAATAAAATGATTTTTACAAGCAAGATACACATACCAAATATATCAAATGTTCAAAAGCAATATAGCATAGATCAATTTCAAACAGAGAGAGTCTTGTTTTTACGTATGACAAGAGAGAATTAATTGTTTCAATGGTCGCTGAACTTAGGTCCATGTATTTGATTGATCACTGAAATTTAAAATATCGAGTTTTGGTCATTGAACATTGATCCATATTTACGATTGCTCATTAAAGTTTAAAATATCGAGTTTTGACCACTAACTTTTGAAAAATATTGTACGTTGCTCACTAACATAAATATTGAATTTTGAAAAATGTTGAGTTTAAAGTGAGTAATGTAGTCTTGAGTAATCTGGCCATATTCATCACCAATGTTTAGGAGATGATCTACCAGGGAAGAAGGCTACCAACAATGTAAAGTGAAAATTACTTTCAAAAATCAAAGAAAAAATCCCAAAAATAGAGGAAGGGACACAATAAAAAAAATCAAATTGTGTTGAGGCAGTAGCAAAACAACTATAAGCATTGTTACTGTCAGACTAAGCATTGGATATTTAATTTGGAATTTAGACTTTTGGGGAGGGTTATTATCCTATTTAAAGCTTGGAGATTGAAACATTCAAACTTAAGGAGAATCATCATGCATTATGTTAGTGACTTTCATTGGTGAAACTCAACCAAACTTGATGGGAAAGGGAAAAAGTGCTATGTAATCAACCTTACAATAAATACAACTGAAATGTGATTGAAAAACAAGTCTTGGGGTGTGCATCCCATGAGAGAGAATGAAAATATTTGTCTATTAAGGTCGAGATATAATCAATTAAAAAATTTATGATAATTTGATTGACTATGCACACATCCACACATCAATCAAGCATGTAGCAAGTGAAGAATTAGTTTTAGTTGTATTACTTATAAACTCTTTGTGAAGTATCAAACGATTTCAATACTTGATGTGAGTTTGAAAAAGTTATCTAATATATTTATAATTTTTTTGTTTGCTTGTTGTTAGTAGATAGTCTTGCTCGGGGTAAACAAGATTATAAGTTTGGGGTATTTGAGAAGTGCATTTTGTGTGCTTATTCGGACTTCTATTTTTATTTAAATATATATAAATTGTAGGGCAGTCCCAACTTGGATACAGTTTATATGGAAAGATGCTATTTAGAGCTTAATTGAAGTTGATTCAAAACAATTGAAGATAAAAGGATTGCAAGAGATTAATTGGAAATATTAATGGGGCATATGGTAAAAATTCATAAGTTTCGAGAGTTAAATTTGACATTTGAAAAGTTTGAGGACAAATTTGCAAACTTTGGAACATGTCTAGGGTCAATTATTATGATTTTGAAATGAAGAGGACATAACTGCAAAATAGAAAAAGATGGAGGAATAAAGTTACATGAGAAAAGGAGTTCAATTGAAAAATGAATTTGTTTCCTTTTATTTCTTAAATTCTTTGGTAGAAACAAACTTGAACTTTTTAGTAGAAACCAATTAATTGGTTTGGAAGGATTTTGCATAAATCTTTTCTATAAATACATATCTTAGTCCAACAACTAAATGGTGCTTGTGGAGTTTCATAGTACACATATATTCAAGTCAAGGTTTTGGGATTCATTATACATATATTATTCAAGCCAAAAGGATGGAAAAATCAAGAAATCAATCAAGGAGCCAGGGTTTCAAGGATTTCACAGGAAGGGGGGATTTTTGGTTCAAGATTTTCGTCTTTTTCTCATTTTTCTTTAATACCCGTTGATTTACTTTAACTCCATCTTGTTTTATTCTTTTCCAATGATGTGTAATTAAGTATTTAGTTAGAATGAATAATTGTAAACTAGTTTTGAACCTTAATTTTAATTAAAAAGTTTTAAATATATAATTGATTTTGTGAATTGTTTTTGCTTCTATTCTTAATGATTGGATTAAGTGGCTAATAATTCATTGATTTGTAAATAATAATTACGTAGAGATGCAAATTATTTGTTTAGACATGAAGTAAAGGCCGTTAATTAGTATAAAATATAGAGATACTTATGTTAGTTATTGCGAACATTACATGAATTCATAGAATATAAGCAAGTTTAACAAAGATTGATTAACATAGATCGTGAAATTGATTTAGTTAAATAGACTCAATGAGAATTCGAGATGGGTAAATTAAATATATTAGGAGAATTCGATGGGTACACATAATCAATTCTATAAAACTTGGAAATTGAGATTAAGGGGATAACTATGGTAAAATTATCAATCCTAACACTTAAACCATCATGTTAAAAAATCACTTTTATTTGTTTTAGTATATTTAAAATAGAAAATTACAAAAGAAAGACATAACCACTTTATTTGTTGTCAATCAAATTAAAGTAGGGAATAATTGAATCAATTGTTAGATTGTAGTCCTCATGGAAATGATATCCGAACTCATAGTGTCACTTTATTACTTGTTACCATTCGCAAACTTACGTGATATAAAATCGGCAACACTTAGAAAAAATAAAAGAACTTAGAATAGAACGATCTTAACAAGAACTGTTAAAAAATAGTATAATCCTTCTAAATTCTTATCAAGAAGCCAACGAACTCAGCAAAGCAGCAAAGGGATCAGTGAAATGGTACACTGTTTTTCAATCTTGCATTTGCGATTTCGATATATTTTGGCTGATTACTAACCTTTTTTAAAATAAGAACGAGTGTCTCTTTAATTGTCATAATTCTCAATGATAATATTTCAATTCGTTTTATTATATTGGTCAACTTTTGACAATTTGCATTTCTATGGGTTGAAGTTCTTTACTGTCAACTGAAATATAAAATATTGTTAATGATATTTGAATTATTTGAAAAGATCCTGTGGGACAAGATTGGCTGTCAGTATATTTCCAGCCCAACGAACATGGTGCGAGTTTCTTAATACATCAGGCTTTCACATTACGCCTTGAGTTGGTTACGTAGGTCAACTGAATATGCAAACAACTCATCCATGAACGGGCCATCTCTAATGCAACAAGTTCATACTAAGCTGCTATTTGGTGAGCATTAAAATAAAATTTCCAATAAAATATGATAAAAGTTGATGAAATGTATAGTTAAAAAGTTGTGGATCCATGAGATATGCGTTTAAAATTAATTGTTGATTTTGATTTGAAATTTAATGTACACTGAATAAGGGCTAATAATATTTGCATGGCTTTGAGAAGAACTTTCGGAAGGTTATTGATCGGTCCGAAGCTGGGTTCATGACCTCTGCTACAATTATGCTGAGTTCCATCGAGGTTATGGGCAAACTAGACGACCCTCCTGGTTTCTTGGCTGTTAGGTGACTATTTTTGCAACTGGCCAAAGCTAGCTAGGTTAAAGTTCGACGTAGACAGGTCATTCTACGTGATTTCCTTCTTAGCTCCACTTGAGATGGAGACATAACAAAAAAAAAAAATCAGCATTCAGATAAGATTAAATTTTGCTGCATATATTGTTGAATTTTTCATTGAACTCATTTCAAAGCTGTTCGAGGAGTTCAACTGCAAACCACGTCCAAGTGAATTATTGCACTTACATAATTCTTATCTTTTTTAAATAGGAAATTATATGTATGCTTTGGGAGGTGTCCCCACTACAGTATATGTACCAATGTATATCAATATTCATAATAATAATCCATAATCATCCATCAAAATCAAGGTGAGGTCAACGATAATAATTTAATGTGTTTTATTGTAGTGGTGAACTTTCAAGAATTTTCATTTAATACTTTCAAGTTGAGATTTCTTGTACTAAAAACTGTCTCATAATCCGAAAATATAGAGGGTGTGCTAGACATCCCCATGTAATTTTTTATAACTTAACCTCACTATTTCTTTACATTTCAGGGACAGAGCCATTTGAATTTTAATTTTATACTGAACTGATACATAGAAAAAAATAAAAAAAAATAATAATAGTAAAATGAGCTTGGAGGCAGGCCTGCGCTTTATTCGGCCCCTCCCTTCGCGTGTTCTCTACATCGTCTATCTTGTACATACGACCTACATTTAATGCATTTTACTGTCTAACTGGAGATATTCTTATCTACATTCTCATTTTGCTTGTCTAGTGCATAACAATTCACATTGTTACGCTGAATATTATGCAACTGAAATAGGAAAACATCAGCTGACAAATATATACACAAATTGTCAATGATGCCTATCCTACTTTTCCTAACTTCAGTTCCCCAAGCTCTCTGAACCCAGAAAAGTCAATATTTATCTATTATAAAGCCTTTTGGCTGCAGCAAGAAGGAAATTGTGATCATGGTAGCCATGCAGACAGCTTATCGATTTCCTCCTGCAATTTTGTTAGTCCATTTTCTAATGGCCTGCTTGGCTATGGCAACTAACAATATCACCACCATGGATCGATCTTCTCTTCTCTCCTTCAAAGCCCACTTGAATTTAGAGCCTTCACACATTTTATCCAATAATTGGTCGGTTTCTACTTCTGTCTGTGTATGGATTGGAGTTACATGTGATACTCTCAACCAAAGAGTGACTGCTTTGGATATTTCTAGCATGAATCTTAGTGGAAACATACCTCCACAATTGGGGAATCTGCCGTTTCTTGATTCTCTCAACTTGAGCAGAAACTATTTTAAGGGGAGTCTGCCTCGAGAATTCATTCAACTTCAACGAATAAGAATAGTTGATTTTGGGTTCAATAGTTTGAGTGGACGAATTCCATCTTGGTTTGGTTTCTTACCTAAATTACAAATGTTGAATCTCAGAAATAACAGTTTTACTGGTTTCATTCCACCTCTTCTGTCTAATATATCGACTCTGCAGGAGTTAGATCTCTCTTTCAATCCTCTACAAGGGAAAATCCCAGAAGAGATTGGAGATCTTCATAACTTGAGAACACTAAAATTACAATATAACAGGCTCTCTGGCATGATACCTTTGGCGATTTTCAACATTTCGACTATGGAAATTCTTGCCTTTACAGGGAACAGCTTATCTGGTAATCTTCCTGTTGACATATGTCATGGAGTTCCAAGACTCAAAGGGCTTTATTTATCTTCAAATGGATTTGATGGTGAAATTCCTTCCAGTCTATCAGAATGTTCACAACTTCATCTTCTTGATTTATCATACAATAAATTCAGTGGATCCATACCAGGAGAAATCAGTGACTTAAAAACACTTGAGATTCTTCGGCTCAGATCAAACTATTTGACAGGTACTATTACTCTTTCTGAGAAAAACTAAGGTGGGATAGTTGATATATTTCATTCCAGCCTTGCAAAATTTCTCAAAATCTTGGTCAATACAACATGCAGATATATGTAGGTTATGTTGAACCGCTAGATCTTAAAGCTTAAACTATTAAAGAATCTCACATTTCTCAAATTTAGTCTTCAACACGTCCTCTCACATGCATGCTGCATCTATTTATTCATCAAAGGCGACAATTATTATTATTAACGGGTGTTAGGAAGATCTTTCTTTTCGACTCTGACTCCAATAGCATTTTTTTTATTTTTTATTTTTTTGGCTTCAGAAGTAACCCATGTCGCCTTAAAACTTTAACTCTTAGATTTGGGACACATTTATTTATCTAAATTTCTATTTTATCGTTTGACAGGTGCAATCCCACAAGAACTGGGTAATCTTCAGAATGTAGCGAGGTTAGCTATTGGAGGAAATTTTCTTACAGGTTCTATACCAGCCAGTATCTTTAACATTCCCTCGCTGAAATATCTTGATATTTCAAGTTGTAACCTGTCTGGCACTCTCCCAACAGATATATGCACTGATGGAACCCACCTTGAAGTTGTTTATTTGCATCTTAATCAATTATATGGCCAACTCCCAACAAGAATACATCAATGCTCAGAACTTCAGATCTTATCATTAACCAACAATTCTTTTAGTGGGCAAATTCCAGGAGAGATTGGGAATTTAACATTGCTCACTGCACTATATATTTCCACTAACGAATTAACAGGTATGCCTTCCAGAAACATATAACAAAGAATTCTGTATCCCTATAATTTCTATCACATTCTAAACATCTTTATGATTTTAATGTAGGTGAAATCCCACAAGAAATTGGCAATCTTTACAATTTGGAGTATCTTGATTTGGGCCATAATTACTTAAGTGGTTCCATGCCAATGGGATTCTTCAATCTCTCAAAATTAATTTTAGTTACACTTTCAAATAATCAATTGTCAGGCAACCTTCCGGTGAGTTTTGGTTACGGACTACCAAATCTTGAAGAACTCTACATGACTGGAAATAGTTTCAGTGGAAGGATACCTGATTCCATCTCAAACTCCTCTAAACTCAGTATAATAAACTTTTCTTTCAACAATTTTACTGGACCATTATCCGACTCTTTTGGAGAGTTGAGATTCCTCGAAATTCTGTACTTGAACGGTAACAATTTGACTAGCGCATTCCAGACTTGAGCTTCATATCTTCATTAACAAAATGTAGATTTTTAAGAACTTTGAGTGTTAATGGAAATACTTTGAGTGGAATTCTTCCGGCTTCTGTTGGGAATCTGTCCAGTTCTTTTCAATATCTTTACGCTGTTAATTGTGATCTGCGTGGCACCATTCCATACGAAATTGGAAACTTGAGCAATTTAATAAGTTTAAGCCTGTTTCAAAATCACTTGACGGGATTGATACCATCAACTGTGGGAAATATGAGAAGTCTTCAAGCATTAGTTCTTTTCGGCAATAAGCTAAGTGGATCTATTCCAATGTCCATTTGTGAGTTAGAGAAACTGTACGGATTATTGCTGCAGCAGAATCAAATGTCTGGTGCTATTCCAGACTGTATAGGGAATCTTACTACTCTGTATTATCTTTATTTAGATTCCAACAGATTCATCTCTGGCATACCTGGGAATCTATGGCAGCTTAAAGATCTTCAAGAGCTAAATCTTTCTTCGAATTTCTTGAGTGGCTTTATCCCCCCTGAAATCGGAAAATTGAAGGCTGCAAACCTTGTTGATCTGTCACTGAATCAGTTCACAGGTGTTATTCCAAGCACAGTTGGAGGATTACAGAAGTTGGTTAATCTTTCTTTGGCAAATAACAAATTGCAAGGATCAATTCCTGACTCAATTGGTAAGATGCTAAACCTGGAGAATCTTGATATATCCCACAACAATCTTTCTGGTACAATACCCACGTCCTTGGAAGCACTTCGATATCTTACATATTTGAATGTTTCTTTCAATCGTTTGAGTGGTGAAATTCCTTCTGGTGGTCCTTTCAGAAACTTCACGAATCAATCTTTCTTGTTCAATGAAGGTTTATGTGGTGATCCAAGATACAATGTCCCCCCATGTCAAACAATTGCTAATAACCAATCAAAGAGAAAAGCAATGTTTCAAGGTGTTTTTACTGTGTTAGGGACATTAGCATTGATACTTTTTCTAGCTTTGACATATGCTTTTGTGAGATACAGAAGGAAAGATACTGTCCTAACTGAAACAGACCCTTTGTCTAGCATAATACCATTAAGAGTTTCACATTATGAAATTTTCGAAGCAACTGATGGTTATAGTGAGAGTAATTTGCTTGGTACCGGAAGCTTTGGATCTGTTTATAGAGGGACTCTTAGAACGGGAAAACTTGTGGCTGTAAAGGTGTTCAATTTGCAACTACAAAATGCATTCAAGAGTTTCGATGTAGAATGTGAAGTTTTTCGCAATCTTCGCCATCGAAATCTGTGTAAAGTCATAAGCTCTTGCTCCAATCTAGACTTCAAGGCCTTGGTAATGGACTACATGTCAAATGGAAGCCTTGAGAAGTGGTTATATTCACATAACTACTACTTAGATATGAAGCAGAGAATCAGCATTATGATAGACGTAGCAGCCGCATTGGAGTATCTCCACCATGATCACTCAACACTGATAATACATTGTGATTTGAAGCCAAGTAATGTACTGTTGGATGACGATATTGTTGCCCACTTGAGCGATTTTGGAATCGCAAAGTTATTGCATCAAGGGGAATGCATTGCACACACTATTACCCTATCAACGTTGGGTTATATTGCACCAGGTGATTTCCTTTCTTTCTCCCAACTTTGTCCGAGGTTCGTACAGTCTAATTCTATTATATACTTATTCATCAACTGCGATGGAATTAAATTTTTTTTCCACTTTTTAATCACACATTTTCCAATAAATCACTATTTCAAAAATCATTTTTTCCCACAAACTCTTTAAAAGGGAGACAAACAAGGGCTAAAAGATCATTCTATCCTACTTTACAAGGGTCAAAATTGAGTGTGTGAGAGGCATGGGAAAATCAACTAGATGGTTAATAACTAGCATTAATGTTTGTCTTCGGCATTCGGTTTTCAAGCCTTGATTCATTTTCTTGTCAAGAAAATTTGATCAAATTCATAATTTCGTTGTAGAATATGGATCGAGAGGATTAGTGTCAACAAGTTGCGATGTGTACAGCTATGGGATCATGTTGATGGAAGTTTTTACAAGAATTAAGCCAAGTGATGGAACATTTTCCGGAGATTTGAGCCTAAGAAGCTGGGTAAATGGTAATGTGCCGAATGCAGTTTTTCAAATAATAGATTCCAACATATTGAGTTCAGACGAAGATCATTTCCATGAAAAGTTGAGTTGTTTATGTTCCATTATGGAATTGGCTTTGAATTGCACCATGGAAAGTCCCAAGGAGAGGATCAACATGAAGAATGTTGTTGCAACATTGAAGAAGATCCAAAATCAGCTTCTTGCATATTATGCATAGACCTTGTGTTAAAGAGAAATGTTAACAAATCTTTTATCCTTTTGTTAGTATTTATCTTTGAATATTTTGGTTTATAAAAGCATTGTAGTTGAGATTAGGAAAGCCTATGTAATGTATAAACTATTCAACAAACATGTGCTAAAAAGGGATTTTGATGCTGTTGTAAGCATATATCGAAGGTGTTAGCAATCGTGTGAAATAATATAAACAATTGGATATTGATGCTCATTCATTCTCCAAATCCTAAGTACCTGAAAAGTTTGTCTTTCTTCCTCATCTAAAATATTGAGTATGTCGTCAGAAAAATACCTAGTTAATTCTACGACATTCTATTTGAACCTATATTTGTACATTAGGTAAGTGAAGAAGTATTAGAATATTGATTAACTTTACAAGCAGTAATATAGTTGAATAATGATAAGTCATTATCTTCGACTTCTTGTGACGATGGACAAGTCCTTGGTATGAGATGTCGTCCAACATTTTGGCCTACATCTTATACATTTCATATAAACTTTTCTGTATATTACTATGTAGGAAAGATACATGGCCATGAGGCCCTGGCCATGTAGCATCTCTCTACTGTGTAACTAGATATTCAAAATTTAACATGTTTAAAAATTTGTTTGTAACAAATTTGTACACTTTCAAATTGAAATTGGAGTCCATTACGTAGGCTAAAGGAAACAATATAGGGAAATCCTCCCAATATTTTGTAAACTTAAACTCTATCGCTACTATGATATCAGATAAAATGGATAATGTTCTACGTGTTTTGAAATTTTTAGCAATATAATAAAAGTGAGTGAGAAAGAGTAGACTAGTGAAATATCATACGTTCGAACGTACATTCATAACGTCAAAAAATATTTTCAAAAATTTTTCTCAGTAAACGAAATTTCTCAATCATGTTATTGTAAATGCGATTCTAGATCACTTGAGTATCAGGTATTGTAATAAGTAGTATTAACATTTTTCATTGCCTTCACAAGAACATAGTATAAGACAAGTAGAATTTCATCTATGACCTTCATTCGTGACAAATACTATAGCACTCAATCTATTTTCTTCACATAACTAATTGAATAATTGTTTTCTACAAGGAGAATTTGCAATACAGCTAAGAGTTTCCCTAGATTATTTTTTTTCCCTTCTAACGTCACTTTTATTCAAGTATGACAATAATATAATTATTAAATTTTTAAATTTTTTGTTAAAAGTTAAATTATTGGAATATATTTGGTAAACTAATGTTTTTATTGTTTATCATATTACTTAGATAATCTTAATTGTCATCTTCTATTAAAATTAATGAAATGTCATGGAGTTTTCCATCAAAATGATTGAATTCTTAAAAAAAATAAAAATAAAAATAAAAAATTGGGTGGGGCCCTGTTACTTGTCCCAGCCCCTACCCAACCAGAATACTCAATTAAGTGAGTAATCTCTTCTCCATTTGGGGTAGGGTCGCGAGTATCGGGTCTGATAGGTATTTTTGTCATCCCTAAAATGTCGGACTAATTTATCAACTACTAAATTTTACTCAGTGTGTAATCGAATGTAAACTAGGAATTCTATTTTCAAAATTAAATTCTCTAATAATGATGAATAAAGAATTAAAAATATTTGAACCTTTATGAGAAAATTTAATTACTTTAAAGCAATATTTTTTGTACACCAGCTACTTTTTGTTTAGGTGGTGTGCATTAACAACTATGTAAACCTATGATTATGACTGGGACCACAAGTCACATGTAAATGATAAAACACCGGTAGATTTATTTAAATCATTTACTATCCAAACCTTTCGTATTTTATACAGTAATAGCATCAAAATGAATAGTATTTCTATGCACGTTCAGATGAAATGTATCGATACCCCTTTTTTTTTTTTTTTCAAGCTTTTAACTTTATCTATATGGCATTTACGTTGTGCTCTAGCTTTTCATCCACTGCACCCCTGATTACTAGTTCAAAGTGCTTCCAACACTTAACAATTTCTTTCTTCGGTTGTTACTTACATTTCTTCAATATCATTCAAATCAATTGGATTCATGCTCTCATGCCTATGATCATTGTCCAAGTCATCAAGAATTGAATACCATTAATCCAACTAAAATCGTGATCTAATAACGAAGTGAAAGCTGATTTACTTTTTGGTTTGTTAGAAGCACCATACATTTTGTTAAAGTCACTTGTATCAAACAATCCACTATAATTTATCTGAAATTGGAATAATGATTGGGTGAAAATAACTTATATAAGAACATTTAAAAATTATAATTACATATTTAGACAGTATGAATCGCGTTTTAGAATATTATAAGGGTAATTAGCACAAAAGGTCCAATAGTCAAATCTTATTTTGTAATGTTGATAATTGAAAAGAGAGAGAAGTTTTGATGGAATAATGAAATTATGCAAAGTTTACTTTAGGCAAGTTAAAAAAGATAGAGCTATGATGGAGGAATCAATATGAAAAAGAATTTTGTTAATGGTTCATAATGAAATGTTAACTAATAGACTAAAGCAAATATTATAAGAAGCAAACGAAGGATGATCTATATGTTTTAGAAGCTGCCCTCGTTATATCTTCATAATCAAGTTAGAAGCTAAAGCATTATGAAGCTTATTATACATTGTTGCTAAGCTCAAACTTCATGGAAGAGTTTCACACAAGTAGTGTTTGAAAACAAAACAAAGTTACAAGTTAAAAGTCTCACAAATTATTGTTATCTGTGCTACCAAATAAAACAAAGCTTTGGAGGTGGTTATAGTAGAATCATTTAGATGGAAAAGACAAAACGAGCAAATAAAAATTTTATGTTGTGGCTTTGATGTTGTCTTCAAACTGATACAGCACTAATAGAAAAATTAATGAAGAAACTGAAATTCAATGAATCAGGAAGAAGAAATCAGAGAAAGAAAAGGAAGAAAAAGAAAATAGGGGAAGACGAATGAGAAAGAGTTGGAATTTCGCCACAAGCCACCAAAAGTCTTTATTCAAGCTTCAACTGAAAAATTACAATGCCAAAATAGGTTTAAATAGTAAAGCAAACCCTAACGAGACTGGACCCGAGCCCATACAAGTCAAATTCTCTAAATAAGAGTCCAAGATAATAAATAAAGTTTAACTAGAAAATAAAATAAATAAATATTGGATGTCCTCATCAACTCTCTCGGGGTGGGAGAAAACTCGACCCTGTCGAGTGAATATCACTATAGGCTGTCGTCAATCTCTCAACCATAAGCTAAGTGGCTGGGAAAGCGTCTTCCGACGTCTGTAGAAATATGACAATGGAAATCTGAATCTGGTGTCCTCACCAACTCCTCCCGAGTGGACGGGATCCTGCTGACTCCGATAAAGCTCCAATAAATCTGGATCCAATGCTGTAGTGTCTCTCTGGAGATCCATATGCAGTCATAATCTGGGCGACCAACCCAACGAACAAGGAAGCGCTGAACCTCTCCATTATTAGTTAACACGATTTCTTCATCTAAAATAGCATCAATTTTATCTTTGTGTGCTGTGAGAGGTGGTAGTGGTTTAGATGGAGCTAAAGAGTCAGGATCAAGGTCCACAAAAGGAAGTAACAGAGGATCATCTGAGGGAATGAAATGGCCTTTATAAGCAACTAAGTCCTCAACATTGAAAGTAGAGTTGTAACTAAGGTGTGGTGAAATGTCAACAATATTGCATTTGGACCAACTTGCTTTAAAATTTTAAAAGGACCAGCACTACGGGCTTGCAATTTGAAGGCGGGTCCATGTAGACACCGCTCAGGCCTAATGCGGACCATAACGTAATCCCCAATGTTAAACTCAACGTGTCATTTATGCAAATCAACTTGGAGTTTATATTTTGCATTACTGCCTTCAAGTTGTTTATTGGTCTCAATATGCAAATCATGAAAATGTTGTGAAAATGCTTCGGCTGACACTGACACTCTAGCCTGCAGATACATGGGAATGAGATCTAACGACTTCCTTGGCTTAGACCCATGAACAGCTTCAAATGGACTCATACTTAATAAACGATTCATGGAACTGTTATACGCAATTCAAGCTATAGGAAAGATCAAATCCCAATTTCGAAGACTTTCTCGGACCAGACATCATAACAAATTACCAACTCTACGATTAACTATTTCAGTTTGACCATTAGTCTAAGGGTGGTAGGCCGTAGAAAATTTAAATTTGGTACCCATCTTTTGCCACAAAGTTCTCCAAAAATGGCTAGTGAAACGAACATCCCTATAGGACACAATGGTTTTAGGAAGCCCATACAATTTAACAATCTTATTAAAAAATAACATGGCAACCTTGGACGCATCTGAGGTCTTACTACAGGGGATAAAATGAGCCATTTTTGATAAACGATCGACAACCACAAAAATAGAATCATGTTTCTTTGGGGTGCGTGGAAATCCTAACACAAAATTCATACTAACATCTTGCCAAGGACAAATGGGGATGGGAAGAGGAGTGTACAGACCTGTGTTTTGCCTCTTCTTTTTGGCCAATTGACAAGTTTTACATGTACTAACGATTTTAGCCACATCTTTCTTCAAACTAGGTCAATAGAATTGGCGTTCAACTTCCTCTATAATCTTATCACGCCCAAAGTGACTGACTAAACCTCCTGCATGAATTTCCCACGCTATGAAATCCCGCACTAAAGTTCAAGGGATGCACAATTAATTGGCTCTAAAAAGGTAGCCCTCCTCAAGTCGAAAACCATCTGCGGTATCTAACTATCCACCTTGGAAATCAAAAAAAGATATCCTTAAAATCAGAACACGTCTCTTAATCCTCCTTAAGCCTTTCAAAATTGATGATCTTAACTCTCATGATTGACAAAAGGGGGACACGACGACTTAAAGCATCAGCTGCTTAGTTCTCCACGCCCTTCTTGTGTTTTAAAATAAACGAAATAGGCTTGCAAGTATTCAATCCAACGACCATGCTTAGAGCTCAATCTTTCCTGGGAGTTGAGGTAACGGAGGGCCTCGTGGTCTGAATAAAAAACAAACTCCTGGGGCAACAAATAGTGGCGCCAATAGCGCAAAGCTTGGACAACCGCATACAGTTCCTTATCATAAGTCGAGTACCATTGTTTGGCCTCATTTAACTTCTTACTAAAGTAGGCAATAGGGTGACGATCCTGACTCAAGACTCCTCCTATACCAACCCTGGACGCATCTCACTCGGCCTCAAAGACTTTGGAA